CTGGCCTTTTTGCTCCAAAACAAAAAAGGTGGCAGGGTTGTACAGTAGAAGGCAAGAAGTAGGGCTGTGGGGACTGTTTCTGCTTATCTTCTTTCCTAAAGCAATGCAAGGGATAAGGCATATATTTTCTCCACTGGCCCTTGTGTGCTAATCCTCGCCTTGGTGGGGATACCCACATGGCAGCTGACAATACCAGGAGATAGGCCGCTCTTTTGTTGCTTAATCTGTGATGAAGGACATGAAAATGGGACTGTTTATGTCCTGGAAGTTAAGCATGAGCTTGGGTGTTTTGTAAGACCATCAACCTGCCCTAAAGGGAGCCGGACTGGCTGACTACTTTTGAGACATTTCTTCTCTCAGATCTTGTTCTGGAGCTGAAAACATCTTTGGGATTAACCCTGAGACTTACTCACATCAGTTGCTCCCACTCTTTCTGGATGGGCTTGACCACAGAACCAGGCCATTGTGGACTGCTGGTATAAGGGGCTGCAGGGATCTGCTAAAGGGCACGTCTTCATGATTTTTAGAACGTGATGATATGTGTGACCCCACCTAGCTGACAAGCCAGCTCTTACTCAGGAGCCCAGAAGCCACATTAGCTTGGCATTGGCCCTGTTTTTTTCCCAGAATTTACTAATTTGTGTGCACTCTCTGATTTGCACAGATAGACATCCACATCAGATCTGGCTTAGAAAATGGGCAGGAGTCTGCAAAACATCCTACAGACCTACATGCAGCGTCTGATATCAGAGAAGGCATGAACATCACTGCCAAAGGACAGTAGCTCTGTCATTCCTGGGTGATGGCAGTGCAGCTGCTGAGGGGTGATATCTGCAGGTACCAAACGTCGGGGGTCTCACAGCCCTATCCTGCCTGGGAGAGAGATTAGGGAACTTAGCAGATCATTTCTTAACTTTTATGGCTTTGTGTTCAGTCTCACTGCAAAAAGGACATCCCCATGAACACCAACACAGCATTATCAGTGGTCCTAGTGGCCCACTTTCAAGCGACTATTGATTGGTCTTTTAATTAGTTACAGTGACATAAGCCATTACTCCCTTCCAAAATAATGGCTAAGGTATCCCACAGAAACTTTCAGCCTTCAGACACAGAGAAAATTAGCTCCTGTGTCAATAGATACATATCTTCCAGGAAGGATGGTATAAATCCAGTGAGGACAATGGCTGAACCAAAGATAAAGTGGGTCTTGAGAGGCATTAAGTGCATGACCCTTAAAAAAAGACAGCTTATCCCCAGATCTATAAGCCACAAAGAACAGATAAGCAGAGAGACAGAGAGAGGCAGAGATAGGCAGCAAAAAGAAAGTAGATTGATTTGAGGAATTTGATGGAAAACTATACCAGAAAAAACATGAATGACACTGAATCACAAAGAACTGGCCAAAAGACCACTATAACACACAACTGTAACTGCTGTTGGGTGTATTTATGCAGAAAGTTGCAAGCAGTAGGCACGGATGTGGATACATTTCTATTCTAATTTGTTCTTGTTGGGGGCATGAGGTTGTTAATATACTGAATTTCCGTAGCAGGTTTATATTGGTGCCTGTCTGTATGAAAGGGTAGCTAACGAAATAACCACAGTGAATAATGCATTCATTTCATTTAGCTTTTTCTGCTTCCTAAATATCCAAAAACAGCTCACGGACTCATCTGGTGTGTTCACTGGAGCCTGGACTTTGCTACCTTTTATTGAACAGTGCTTTACACCACGCACGGCCCAAAGAGCAGGAGCACTGTTTCCAACATGAAACATTCCCAGATGAAGGGCAATCCAAATCTGTTCCTATTTTAATGTAGTTATTACCCTTCCAATTACTTTCTTCTCTATGCACTGACAATCCAGCTCCGTTACACCCCACCAGGACAGTCGCACAGAGAATATTTCACACAAGGTACTGGGGCAAACTTTCTCAAGTCCTCTCTATAATCAACGGAGAGATAAAAGAAGTAAAAGCCCTCTAAGGGGCAAGTTGGAACAACTAAACAAGGCTCCCGTCTCTCTCCAGTAGTTACAGAGGAAGCCTAGAGAGATTAAACTCAGCAGGCTAAAATTAGCCTTTGTGAATATACCCTATAGCCTCATTCTTCTTCCCTGGCTGCGTGAGCACACAAATGCTTCTGGAATAAACGCTGGCTGAATAAATTTAAAATTCATTTTAAAGGCTCCTGCATCTGACATTAAAACTTTGGGTTTTAGTAGCACTCCCATCAATAGAGCTCAAACGCTGTCGGTGCAGCTGACCGCGAACGGAAACCGTTCTGCTGAGAGACACTTGGACGGTTTTCTCCCGTGCGCGGACAGGAGTTGGGGCAGTCGTGTGCATTTCTCCAGCTCTCCAGGTAATCACACCCAACTCTCTACAGCCTGGTTTTGTGATATATCTATAAAGTCATTGCCATTAAAAAGTCAACGTTTTCTGACAGATGTGACAACAGTAATCATAGCAATTTCTCCTGCTAAGTATAGGGCAAAACCTATCGTGTCTTGGGTATTATTTCGCTGGAACTGTTAGCACTGGTTTATTTGTGCCAATTGATCTGCGGTACGTGTACTGGGCTCCTCTTAGTGTTCGACAGGTCTTTTTTTCCCCCCTTTTTGGTTTTTTCCCTTTGTTTTTATTTTTGCAACACTGAACCATACTTCTTGCCTCTGCTAAAGAAAACACAATGTTTCTTTATACCATCTCCTCAGATCCAAACATCTCCAAGGCCGTTAAACTCATTCTGATTATCTTCAGATCTACCTTCCAACACGGTTCCCAAGCCCAGGCCAGAAGCGGCTAGCTAAAGGGAAGGGGCACCAGAGCTCTCAAAAGTGCTTCCGTACTCTCAGCGGGTGCACTTCGAAAGGAGAACAAAATCATTGAGCACAGAGAAGGCTTAAAAGTGCTGCACACACACACATGGACACGAAAGAGGGGGGAAAAAAGAGAAAAGAAAGAAAAAACAAAGAACATCAGAAAAATGACTTTTTTTTTTTCTTTGTAGGTTTTGTTTTCAAAGTACAACTATGAATGTGATCAATAACCAGCGCTATGTATTAAATAAGGTCATTCTGTATGCAGTTTAGATTAGAGAGGGAGAGACTGAGAGACAGTAACTTGCTGCTCTGCTAATCCAATAAACTATTTATTTCAGCGCTGACTTTCAACTGCAATTATCTCGCTACAGACTCTGCCTGCAGTTTGGGTATTTTCTTGAGTTCTCTCTTTGTAAAGAAGGCATCATCCAGAATAAAGCACTCCCTTGTTAGCAGCTGCTTTAAGCAATGCACCAAGGTCACTTCTTCACGTACCTGTTCAACCCAGCAGCAATCAATACCTCTGATCATCCAAATGTGCTTAAGTCTCCTCTTATTATCATGACTGTGGCACTGCTCAGGCATCGAGATTCCCCTCTTTGCTGCATCGAGGGACCACGCTGCATGGCCATGTCAACACTGCTGATAAAAAATGAACCGTCACAGGTTCCAGTGTTTCTCCCCTGGCTGGGTAAGAGCTTGCTTCTACCCTCAGTTTTGCTGACATCACTTAATTAAAAACCACTTCCACCAGAACTACTCAATAGTGCAATGACAGGAATATTGAACCTTGTCTGTACTTTCTGCTTCTACCCTCTGAGACCCAATTCTAGGGCCCAAGGCTTTTGCAGCACCACAGTGTATAAAGCAGCTTATCCTCCCCGTGAAGCCTAGGAGTGCAGCAAACAAGGCGACAGGTACCCACGCTCCTTCCACTTTCATAGTTAGGGTACATCCTGTATCTTCTCCACCAGCCTCCTAAGGTTTTAGGCTCTGCCTGTAGCCATGGTGCAGAGGCACCAGAACACCTCTTGCTCTCCTTGTCTCTTTATAAACAACTTCTTCCTTCAAGGATACGATCGTTATCCGCAGTGATAAATCAAATGCCATCAATGGACAAGTGAGAGCACACAACCCTGTCTTTCCTAACAGCCGGTAAGGAGATAGTTTCTCTGACAGCAACAGCGAGTCAAGTAGGGCAGTGGAAAATAATGTACTAACATCAGCAGCCAGGCTGACCTGTGCATTTGATTTGACTCAGAGTGTCAGCGTGCCATTTCTGTGCTTTGCTTGGAGCATGGCGTAGCTCAGGGATAAAGTCTGCACAGGCTACAGACTCGTTTCTAGAAACGAAGATGAAGGGGGGGCGTCTCATCCTGCTGGAGCCAATGTCAAAATAGCCATTGTCAACAGAGTTTGGAAGTAACCCAACAGAGAGCCCTGCACAGTAGCTGCCGCCCCAGCCAAGAGACCAGGGTGATAAGAACTGTGGAGTCAGCTCTTCAATTTATACTACGAAGTAAACCAGGTAACAGAAGCCCCAGGCTTCATGGATGGAGGTTGGGGTGGTGGCTGTGGAGAAGATAAAGAACCTCAGGCGGCATCAGAAATTTTTCTTGCAGAAGAGGTACCTTTACTTACCAGTCCTCCTCTTTACACATCCATCCATTTACTAATCTGTTCACTGCTAGACCTCCAAAGACCCTTTCCTTAAAAGTATCACATACCTTTACTGTCCCTCAGCCACCTGCCAGCCACTAGACACCACTTCTCTGTTACACAGCCCATGCCACGTGCCACACTCAGCAACGATGAGTCCCTCTCTGATCCAGCTGCTGTCTCTAGGAGTTAGTGAGAAGAGTCACTTTGCTCTCCCTAATCTTTGGGAGGATATATCAGCCTGGGCTGAAGCCATTTTAACGAAGAGATGAACTACTAACCTTCCTCCATAGTAATACAGTGCTGCTTCTTGGATCTTTTGTCTCTGCTGCGCTGAATGACAAGGCAGAGAGATTAAACCAACTGGGTTTTTTTCTTTCATTTTGTTTAAATCTGCTTTTGCTTTTTGTTTGCATCTCCAATCTCTCTTTGCATTCCTCGCCTGGTTATTGATCACAACATTGGGTGGTTTGGTTTTTTTTTTTCATTCTTTACTTAGATGTATTGATAAGGCATACCCTGCCCGTTCCTTCAGTTTCTTATCTGTTATTCCATCTTTGGATACAAGTTTGTTAAAAACCAGAATGCCAATAACCATGTTCACCTGTTGAAAGAGAAACAACACACAGTTTTGTTCTCAAGTGGGTCAGGTCAAACTGGGTAGCACAGAAGGAAAACCCCAACATTTGGCAAGCTCAGTCCTTCCCATTTCTCCCAAAGCTAGGTAGCACGGTCACACTTCTGCAGGCCACCGCCCTTTCTGTCCCTTCTCCACCCTGTCCCCCCTCCCCTGGCCATGCATCAGTGAGTTCAGGACAGCAGAATGCAGCTGGCAGCAGATCAGAGAGGTCTCCATGAACCAGGACAAGTCTGCAAAGTGCTCAGATTGCTGCAGGGCTGTTTGAAGCCTGATGCGTGCTCGAGGTCTAGCAAGACAAACTCCAGGCACAAGAACAATTTTTCAGGGTAATACAAATAGAAAATGGCTAATACAGGTGGGAGCAGTGGGTTGACACTGGCTACTTTCAAGAGTGCCTTCTGGAGTCTGTGCTACCAAAGCAGCAGCATTAAGAGGATGGGGTGGTGAGATGCAGACAGCTTGTCATAGTTCTTGCTCAGTGAACCAGCACCGCTGCTCTCAAAATAAGAGGTGGAGGGGCACTGGAGCAAGTAGAAACATCAGCTACTATGGTGGGATGTCTTGAGAGATACTGCAGATGGCACAGCACGTAGATTAGCCATCTAGCCATTTCAAACAAATCAGGGGCAGGGCAACTGCATGCAATCCTTCATCCTGCTTTGTTAGGGTGAGGGCATGGATGTCTGTATCAATTAGGTATAAATATTCACAGTGAATACAGACTGTGCAGAGCTGAGGTCTTGCAAAGTGATGCTGAACTCCTCACCGTGCCTTTCTGACTGCATTCACTGCTGCCAGCTGCATCTGTTTTACAAACTTCATCCAAACCTCAGCAACCTCTGAATGTGAACACATTAGTGACACATGAGCACCACCCTCTTCATGGAGGCACAAGCACTGATGGTGGAAAAAAGTGACACTCTCCTGGTTTTGCTGACAGTCAAACATCTGGTGTTGGTAGAATGATGTGCTAGATGCTATTCTGCATGTGGGGCTTGCAAGGAAATGTTTAAGGCCAAATTCAGAGATGTGCAACATTACATGTTTGCTGGGAGCCTTGGTGTGTTTAATAGACCCTTGAGAGGTGGTCCTAAGAGACACCTAGTACAACACATAGCCCACAGGAAGAGAGATGTCTGCTCACACCAAGCCTCTATCTAATTGCCTAAATCATCCTCAAGAATGAACAATCTTTCAGAGTCTGGATTGCTGGTTTCA